AAATTGATTGATCTACTTACAGTTCCAAATTGAGAGAAGAAATTTTTGATATCCTCATCTGATAATTCTGTGGACAGACCGCCAACAAATATTTTGCCGTGTCTGGCTTTCGCTTTTTTGGGGTCCACCTTCTTATTATTAATTATATGATCACCAGCTGACATAATCTATAAGGAAATTACTTATGAATTGGAGAAACGTTATAATTGGATAAATTTTCTTTCTCGTTTTCACTTCAGTAAATGGAATATCGTCAAATATACTCGGTAGCAGAACTGGTTGATAATTATCATCATATCGTTGTCTGTTATTTGCACAGTGTATAATGTTCTAGTGTTATTTTACCTTGTCTAGTGATTCCGCTTTTGCAAAAACGATGAAGGCGAATCCCCGTGACCTCCCCGTGTTAGGATCTGTCTTAACATTGATGCTTTCAATATCACCATAGGTTCCAAAGTGATCCCTTAGTTCCTCTGAAAAGTAAAAACTAATTTAAGAAACAACCATATTTTTTTTCATTCATTTAGATTTGGTTTGGATAAACGCTCAGTTTTTGTACGAAAATTAATCTCATATGGCTTATGCCATCCGAAGGTGTCCTAAGTAAAATTCATCATTGGCTATATATGTAAGATATATTTTTTTTATTAATAATGATAAATACTCACTGTCAGTGGTTTCCCAGCTTAGGCCACCAACAAATAATTTCCTGTAAAAGTAAAATTAAAGAAACATTTAATACAACATTTACAACAGATACAAATTTATTTAATGTCATGCATTAAATGAATGAAAAATAAGAGAAATAATGATATCAACGTACCTATCGTTCAAAGAATCCTGGTTACCACCAGTTGACCTGCAAAGCAATGTAATGGAAGTTTATTATAAGGGTCCTTGAAATTAATATTGATTTTAAGGACTAAGGTTGAAGTAAAAAATTAAGTTTTGTTATAAATAATTTCCATTTAAATATATATATTTAAAAAAGGAGTTTGACTTGACCCCTGGAAAAATTAGAATCAGAGTTAAAATATTAAAATTTAGTATTGACAATGTACAGAGAAATGCAAGAGTACCAGTAATATTATTATTTGGAAAAGGGGCACTGGATAAAATTTAAAGACATTTTGGTAAGGAACTTTATTTATCAGGTAATATGTAATTTATTAGAATGCTTCATATTTTATATAAACATAAATTATATTCATATATATATGTTATTCTATGATTGATTAAGTGACCTACATTAATGTTTACTTGAAAATTTGGAATAATATTTTTTTACCAATAATATATCTTAATTTGATAGTTACAGTATTAATAAGAGCATTAAAATACCATTTCCTAGAATAAATCAACTCACTGAATATATAATAATCTTATCGTATGAAATGTGTATGTATGTCCTTAATAAAAAACAGGATTATGAGAAATAACCATGAGAAGACTGCTTTGCACACCACATAGAACCTTGATTTGAACTTCAAATAAATGTGCTTGTCAACAAAAATTAAAGGAAAAAACTTGGAAAAAATTATATATATATATGTAAAAATTAACGCATTGAAAGAGCAAAGTGTACTTTTCACGACGTTCATGTGAACTCGAACAATAGTTATAACTCCAGTTGACATACAGCTGCTCCTAAAGGAAACAAGATTTAACTTTTCCAAGTTGAACTCTGACTGCTGATTCGCCCAAAGAATTGACATATGGTAGACTGACTGCAACTCTATTAAAAAGCTAAAAAAATTGTTTCCACATTACAAGTTAATGATGGTCACTTCTTGATATTTTTAAAAATATCTATATGCACACAATTATTTTATATTTATTTCTACGTATGTTTATATATGTTATTTCTCTCTCTTTGTTTATTCATCAGCAAAATATATTATTATATATATATATATATATATATATATGTTTCAAGTCCTGATATACTTTTCAGCCTTTTCATATACAAATACAATGAGCTGCAATATTTTTCATTTTTCTGGCAGTGTGATGATAGTTATCTGTACTTAGATCGATCATTTCATATATCATCTAGGGCTGGTGATAAATACCGTAGGCACCAGTCACTCGCCGGTAATCAGTTGTTGGTCGGGTCACGGTTAGCCGGTTGCGAGCCGCCCGCCATAATCGCACTGGGTCGTTTGCCACCTGCAGATCAAGCCACATAAACTGGGTTAATGGCATTCCGACCTATCAGAGTTTTTCGCATTGGCCCTAGTGACTCTGTGCTTTGATCACGCCCAAACAGCATTGACATCTGATCAGAAATTACTCTACGCGTGACCCAGCAGGCAAGTGTGTGTCTGTGCGAGACTTATTGATCTGACGTAATTGACTCGATTTCCAGTGCTTGTGTTGTGACGAAACATGACGGACTTGAACTTGACGTAGACTTCTCACAATAATTCAGACTCAGAAGTCAATCATAAGGCTTCAACGGTTCAGTTCACAGATCCCAGGTAAGCGTACATATTGTCAATCGTAAACAATTGACTAACCAGAATTCTGCTGCAATGAATCAATGAGGAAGACTCAGCTGGCCAAAAATGCATTTCAAAGTTTATGCTCTATAAAAATATTACAATTATTATTTGTGCAACGTGTAGAAATCTTTTTATCATTGATGAAATCACAATTTTTCTCTTTATGAAGTACAAAACTAGAATAGAATTAACTAGGAAGGAGAGCAGAAAATAAGGAGTTTACACAAAAATTACAAAATTTTTAAACAGATAAACGTATACCTCGCAACAACAGCACATATAAAAGTTATAACTAATATTTATTATTCTTATATTTATAGTTAGCTTATATCTTAATTTTGCAATAAACAACATGCAATAATTATCTTTATTCTTTCAGCTGTATAATGGACTAACCTAATTAGATATCGGAACACCAGCTTTCGGTTATTTTACTTTTGTTACTTTATGCACAGATATCACGTCCTTCTATTACGCACCTATGTATTTTTCATAGTAGGTAAGAGGAAGCATACCTCCAAATTCTAATCAAATCTTACGCATGGTGCATTAAAATCATTTCATATTTTATGTTATATCGCTTTTCAAAATATAACAGTATCAACGTTATTCTAAATATTAAATTTGAAGGTCACATCTTCTTTCCCAATATTGTTTCAAGTACTTCTACAATGTACAATTGAAAATAGCTTACCCTTTTTGCAAAAACACCCCAAACTATGTAAGAGTTTGTGACAATCCAAAGCTGTAGGAGTACTAAGAAAAAAAAAAAGACAAAATCCCTTTGGTATTGAACCCAAATTGCTGTGATAATAAAATAAGAACGAATGTATATTGCGATATTACAGAATTATTTACATAAACTGTGTTCGTACATTAACATTTACATATCTAAACTCGTCGGTAGGCAATTCGTCCAGCTCGAGATCTCGTTACGCTGAAAAGGGGGGAAGGGCAAGGTGCTGCGCCACCAGCCACCAAAAATTCTTACAATCTATGAATATTTCTAATAAATATCACGGCAATACTAAATAACGGAAAATTATTGAGCATTACCCTCCCTGAATCATCTACATATTCATTACGTTCACGCAAAATATTATTTAAAACGTGTTCTGGCTTGATGCACGTATGCATGTTGTGTGCGTAAAAGAACACAAGGACGTGATACAATGTAACCGTAACAAAACGTTAAAAGAGACGTGCCCAAGCAAAGGTGAATGAAATTCTACTAAAAAATTAATCAAATCAAAACATCGTAGTACTATTCTCTTCTTTGAGAACATTTACAACAATGCATGGGCGCGCCCTTTCTAAAAACCTGCGGCCGGCATTCCTTCCTGCGATCGACTCATTTGCATTTATTATCGCTTACAGTTTATTTGGGAAAAAAAGATTGATACCCAGGATTTTTTAATACTGCAACAATGCAAAATAAATTAACTGCAATGTTAAGAATACTCGCTTTGTAATCGATGGGAACGGATTATGATTTTTCGGGACCTCGCGCATCCGCCATTTTGTTATCGCGACAATCGTATATCGCACAAAGCAAGTCTCGTTTTGTGAGCATCATTTTCAAATCCCGCGCGTTCAAAGCAACGTTATAAACCGAAATTGATAGTATTTTTATTTTTTATTAGACGATATCTGATTTAAATGAAAGATCGTGATATATATAAGGAAAATAAGGTTACCTGTCCTCCTGAGATTCTTGGCCATTTTCTGCGGCGTCCCCGCCGCCGTTCTCTGCTTCGCCGTTCTGCTCGAAGTTTTGATCGGCGATATCTTCGCTGAAGTCCTTGTTCTCCTGATCGGCCATAGTTTACGTAACTTTTGTTTTTCTTTAATTAAACACTTAAAACACAATTTTAAATCGCGTTTTAACGAATAATTAAATACACTACAAGGAGCTAATACACTCTCACGTCCGTACCGATCGACCGCCGAATGGAGAAGGGAGAGGTACGACTTGCGCCAGTTTGACTCAGGAGATTCCGCGCAAAGCATCATGGAATCTCTTTCACCTCCCCCCTTAAAAGACATTTCAACCAATCAGATTTCACCGTCCAGGAACGTAGTTTTAACATTTTATGCCTACAGATTTTGTACTTCCCCGAAGCATATATTATTTACAGTGTTCAAAAGAAGTGATGTTCTTTTATTAAAATTGAAATAATCATACAATTAATTATTAATGTATAATTTATGCAATTTAGCGCAAAATTGCAACTCACGAAGTTAAGATTTATTAATTATTATAATTAGTTGATATTATTTAGATCTAAAAATTATTCTTGATACTTGTGTTCTGTTTTATTTAAACGTCAAGTTCTGCTTACAATTGAATACTTTTATTATTAGTTATGTACATTTCGTTAGAGCATTAAATAATTCTTTACTTTTAAAAGAAAGAAAATTATTAAAATTATTTTGAAGCGTTGATACGTTACTGTCGTACCAATCGATGTTGCCGGATTTTCCAGCGGTGCCAAAGGGGAACAGTAGATATAATGGCTAGCAGATGTAAATTTTAGTACAGCGTGGGGATCAGAGCGAAAACGAAGGACCAATAAGATTCATGGTAAATGTTAAATGCTGTCTATCAGCCAATAGCTATTCGTAGAAGATCCGGCTCCATTTGTAAGCATCATTTCCCAGAATTCCATACGTGTAACCTCTAAGAAATCAATATATTGTTTATAAAATTTATTCTATGACATTTATTCTGTTCTTTTCTGTTCTCACATTTTCATTTTCCTAATGGATGCTCTAAATATTTAAATACGAAAAGAAAATTGATTTTCATGTTGTTGCTCAATAAAAGCGGGAAACGTTTACAGTTGATTCAGCATTCTCATTATTGGATGAGTCAACAGACGCTAGTAGGTGGCACCACTGTTGATAAAGATGGCGCTGCAACACCTAACAATGTATCAGGGAAAAGTTGTTAAAAACACATGTTCATCACTATGTTTATATTTAGAATTCTTTGTTGAATAAAATTATGATATTGTTATAATTAAGTAAGTTTTTAATTCCATCTATTACACGTTTAAAATTTTACACCGTAACTTGGTTAAATCGAGGAACTGAATGTTATTATCATTGTTTTTTTTAACATTTTATTCATTCACTTATCTTTTATGGTAATAATGCTGATTGTCAATCGCAAACAACCTATTTACATATTATATTCGCACCACGATTTTACGTTTCTTTTTTGTTTGATGACATAAGTAGTTTGCATCTGATGAAAATTATTTGGTATTTACAGAGTAAAATTTTCGTAATCCCTAAAGTTGGTATTTAATTCGTCCAAATGCCCGAGCAAAAGGTAAAACTGTCCCCTTCCTGTTTCTTAAAATAAAACGAACGGAAGCGCACGTCTTTCGACTAACACGTGCTCTATCCTTAGGTTTTGAGGTTGCAAGATGTTTGGCGTACTTGTAATAAAATAAGGGCGGCAATATTTCGTATTGGTTTTAATTTATGGGATTACTATAAACCTCTAGATCCAGAGAAAAATTGTTTAATTTCAGGTACACTTTCTCTAACGATATATTTAAAATAATTTATAATAATAATGAATATATTTTCGAATAAATAATTTATAATTTTATAATGATTTCATATTTAAGTTTAACGAACATGGCAAAATTTATCAGAGATTATATAATGTTGTTGTTAATGTACAGAGTCAAAGTTTATTTCGGTTTTGGCTGGTCCCCTGAAGGATGTAGTTGGCCTGTCCGATAGAGAAATTTGCGATTTGGCTGATTATTTTCGCGTACAGGATGGCCGAATATTATATACACAGTTTTGCACAATTATCCACGATAGCGGTATGAATAAATTTTTATAAATAAACATTTCACTCAAACTTTGACCTAATTTAATCAAATTTATCATATTTTCCAGCATGTATGCATTACACTTGCATTATTTTTCGCAAACGATACGATAGGTATTAATATGATTTTTTTTTTTTATTAAAAAAATTGATAGGGAATGATGATAAATAATTGATACATTACATATGAATTATAAATTACTTCAACATTTATAAAACGTTAGCAAAACAGATTCTGTTTCTTTTTGCAATGAAATTTCCAGAAAATCCTAAGGGAATAAATTCTAACAGTATGAAGAGTAATCTTGGAAACTGTTATACCTACGTGTCTAAAATTCATCGTACCTGACCCGGTACCGTTAAGTGAACCCACACGGTCAAGGTAGAATTCGTTTCCGAATTCTCTTTTGGGTATTCCCTTCTGTTTATTGTACGTATATAGCCAGGTGCTATAAATCTTGCAGACAGAATACTGCCTGCTACGTATTAACAAAAATATGTATGTAGAGGGTGTTCCAAAAAATTTGGGCCAAGCTTGAAATCATTGAATATTTTTTTCTTTTTTACCCTGTATATAAATATTATTATTATTCTTCACAGTTCCTGAGTTCGATAAGAACAAACCTCTTGTAACTGGCTTGGAATGGGAGGATCCAGAACACGTGAATCGATTAAGTCCAGCAGAATACCGAAAATTATGTCTTATCCTCTCCCAAATTGCTGTTATTGTTAATAAAAGGAGGCTGATCCTCAGGCCTTACTTTCAAGATTATGAGTTAGTGCGTGTAGTCTCTTTGAACGACTCGGTATACATATGCGGCTGGACCAAGTTATAGCACTAAAATGTAATAGTTGCAGATAGGAAAAATGTTATTAGGAAAACTTAAATGGTGTTAAATGGAGCATCACTTGATATATGTATGAATACCAAAAATGGAGGTGGTCCAAAGATTTCAAGGTCACCTTCTATTTTTCAAATGGAACTGCATACTTATCTATACGTCAAAAGAAGCGTCTTTTTATTCTCTACAAAAAAGTACTAAGGCACTTGGGTCGAAAATTCATCGGTTCAAAAGATATCCTAGGGAGAGACAGGGAGAGCCTCGAGGTCTCTCCCTAGGATATCTTTTGAACCGATGAATTTTCGACCCAAGTGCCTTAGTACTTTTTTGTAGAGAATAAAAAGACGCTTCTTTTGACGTGAAGCAAGGTACACATTTCCAAAAAAAAAATTATTTTCCAATGATATTGCCCATTACGTATAAAGCTATAGTTTGGTCCCTTGCGTAAGACACCTGTACGTTTCTCTTATTCACTATTCATAGATCGCAAAGAATGCCGGGACAGTGACGTTTACTCATTTCGGACGGATCTTGAAGTTCCTCAACATCGTTCTGGCCTCCGAGGAATTCTCTCTGCTTATAAAAAGATTCGCGAAGGATGCGTACACGGTCAATTACGTGGCATTCCTGCAGGCTGTGGATGAAGTTCAATCGTATTTCGATAAACATGGAATGCTTTCTCTCAGTGGAGTAATACAACAACGATACCTTCCCAATGATTGTCTAGTTACTTTCTGTTCATTCTCCATTTAAAAGGAGTTACTCGATCAATTTCCCGGCCGAGTTATCACAGCTGAACTACCGAAACTTCCGAGGCCAGAAATTGGGAAACTTCTGCCCAGCAAGGTGTTTGGGAAACAAACGGTGTTTCATCCGGTGATGGAAGAGCCGAGGGCTGACATGCCATTAATGAAGATCATCCAGCAGATTCAGAGGCATATTCTTGAAAATCGGATAAGAATTTCGGAATTCTTCAAGGTGATCTACATAGAGTGCCCCAGGTCATCCGGGCCCCTCTGGAACCATGTGTTCCCAGGGTTCCTGATTCAAAGGGACGATGCCCAATTCAGGCATCCTAATCTAAATTAGATCTTCTAAATTATAATTAATAACAGAGGTTTGATCATTTGAACGTTGGAAGAGTAACCGTTTCTCAATTCAAAAGAGGATTAGACGGTCTTCAAGTATCGAGCTTGGGACGTCTTTACCTAGCGGAAACGGAAATCGATGCACTCGTCGAGATTTACAAAGACCCGAACGACCCGGATCGCGTGTGTTGGCGCACGTTCCAAGACGACATCGATCAAGGTTCTCATCCAGACCCAACACCGGTCGATCATCCCCACTCTGATATCTTTCTTCTCCAACAGTATTCACCGTCAAGGAGTTGGAGAAATTGCCGAATTTGAGAATTGAATCACCGCCAAAAGAAATAGCCGACCTGAAACGGCGAGGGACAGCCGATTGGCAATGCGTGCCGGGTAGCATCAGAGACCTGTGCGAGGAAACCCTCCAGAAAGTCCGACACCGAATCAACGAAAGAAGGATTCTGATCAAGCAATTCTTCAAGGACTATGATCGGTAAGGTCAGAGTTAAAAATCATCAAAATCATTTTGAAATGATGGACGCTTAAACGTTCTCTTCAGGAACAACAAAGGACACGTGTCCCGTGCACAATTTCGCCAGGTCCTAGCGACTGCGGTGGTGTTACTTTCGGAGGAGGAGGAGTATGCTTTAGAGCAGAGGTACAACGACGAATTAGGGTTCAATTATGTATTGTTCTTGAAAGAATTAGAGGCGATAAAAATTGAAGAGCCTCTGTACAAGTCTATGCTGGAAGAGAAGATGAAAATCAATGCCGAGAAACCGCCGCCTGAAGGCAGCGTCGACGAGAAAAACATTGTCCTAATTTTAGCCAAAATCAAAGCGAAAATCGTACGCGAACGAGTGAAGGTAGATTGTAGAGCCCGATCGTTTTTCTTCAAACGTTTCAACCTGATTTTGTTATTTTATGCGAAGGCGATCGAGTTCATGCGTCCATACGATCCCCGCAATGAACAGGTTATTAAAAAAGTGGATTTTATGAGAGGATTGGATCAACTTCGTTGTAATTTGAGTTGTACGGAAATAGGAACCATTATGAAGGTTTTCCAATCGCCTTTTAGGTATAAAATTAAATATCTAATAATGGAAAGACTTGCCTGTTCTAAAGAAGATCTATTCATTTTATATTAGGAATTTTAATGAAATATTTATGTAGTCAGTTTCATTAGACTTTAAGCTTTAAATTGATCTATCATAAGTGCCATTTGATGATACTTTTATGTCATGAAATCTTGTCAGACTTTTTATTCTTCAAAATTAGTTGTTTGATATCTGGCATTTATTTTAATGGAATATTTTCTGGTTCAAAGAGAGAATTACGTGGATTATGTGAGATTCGGTGAAGTGGTCGAAGAGGCTGTCACCGTTGGTAGTTTGGAGAGAGCACCACTTTTGGTGCCTGTGCAACACGTGCCCCCGGAAGCTTCTCCGAAAACATTCTTGACTTTCGATGAGAGACACATGGCTACTGTAGCAATGGATAAACTGAGCAGAATGCAGCGTCCAAATCTTCTAGAACTGTTCAAGGTTGATATATACACTATACTTGAAGAATTAATCAAGTATCTGATTTTTATATTCTGCCAACCTTTTTTTAATTGCAGGATTATGATAAAGAAAACATTGGAACTGTTTCAAAGAATTGTTTGATCAAGGCCCTTTCCGTCAGACACATGTTTCAATTAATTAGTAACAGAGAATTGGATGCTGTGTATAAATGTTTCTCTGTAGAGAAAGGTGGCCAGTTGGAAATCAATTATCGTGCATTTTTAGAAGCTCTGCATTTAATGAGAGAGAACAGAAAATATTTGCCCTTTTAAAAATAAAGCAGGTCACAAAGAATATATTGTAATAATAACAGTATTATAAATAAAAGAACTTGTTATATTTTTATATATTCCAAGAACATGGAATATTTTTAAATTTTTGGACTTCAGGAATATCTTGGATTTATTACAATAGACCATTGTTCTCTGACCCGAAGGGAGCAAAGGTTCTCCCTACCATTTGTCCTTCCAGGTTACACCTGCCACATGGTTTGCTGAGGAGGGGCAGAACCTGAGCGTTTTTTGGGAGACACGATCGCTTGGAAGGGTCATACTGAATAGTCCCCTTTCTTGGTCACTCCTTGGTCTACTGCGTACAAAACTACAATGGATCCTAAAAATGGAGCTAAGAGATGCAATTGTTTTTAATTTGTCTACTGCTTATTTTGTCGTGTAGATGATACAAGGGCCTCATGGTGACTCAGAACTTACAAAGAATTGAAAAAATAAAAAACATATTTTCATTTCCTTTTAAACATATTCCTCTTTATTAGCAAATGAGTAGGTGACTCAGTTGGTTCAGTGAATTCATGTATGTACGCTAATGGATCCTGCGGCTCTATACAGGCTTATTTATAGATTAAAGGTCTTTTTTTTGTTACATCTGATGGATATAAGCAGAGCTAGGACCTCAGCCACTTTAGTTCTCTTCAGTTCTTCTGATTGTTCGTGTTAAAGGCGTCCATCTGCTGCATTCATTGGACATTATATTATTTAATCAAAGGAAATAATAGCGGTAAAGTATTTTTCAAGATTGATTTAAGCTTTGGCTTGGGCTTAGACATTGAGTTCTGTGCTTCAGGTCACTCCTGCTAATGATTACAGATGCAACAAGACTCAACATGCGTTAATTAATTGCAAAATTAAGTCTTGTATAAAAAGTAATCTTAAATTCAAGGAACTCGTGTTTTAAAAAGAGCGCCATAAATTATTTTAAAAATTCGATCCCAGCGCCATCTATACAAAAATGGCTGAAACTATTCGACAACTTATCGACTAAACAATGACCATAAGTGGCAATTTTCAAACGCTTTCGTGAATATATTAAATGTGATTGTAAATTGAAGAATTTGCTTGTGGTTTATTTATTTTTCAAAATTTTACTTATAATGCTTTACATTTGTAGATCACCGCTCTTTTACAATTAATCCGCATCGGTAATGATACTGTCTTCCTTTTTTTAAGTTTAAATTGTAAATTAAAGTATTATAATGATTTAGTTTGTGTTAAAAGCAAGAATTTTTGTAAAATAATTGAGATAATAAATTCAAAATGTTGTAAAAATTTAATTTTAACATATTTTTTACGAAAAAACCTATCCCGCGTCGGTAATCGTACAGCTAGCGACGTCTAGCGGTGAACTTACGAACTAAGAAAACAGAAAATTTCGTTTTTTTGACAGAATAAGGAACTTTCGGGCCTTTCCGAAGCCGTCAAATGATTCTATGACCTCAAATACATAAGAAAAATGCCCTCACAATTAATTTTAAGCTTTAATTAAGAAAATAAAAAAAATAGGCATTTCATGGACCTAAAAATTGTCGTCCATCTAGCGGCGAAAAGGTGGAACTAACGAAATTTGACGAGGTCTGTTTTTTGGCAAAATAAGGAACTTTTGGGCTTTTTCGAGGCCGCCAAATGATTCTACGACCTCGAATACATAGAAAAAGTGCCCTCACAGTTGATTTAAAGCTTTAATTAAGAAAATTAAAAAAATAGCAACTATGATTATTAATTCCATCTGTATCAAGTTCATTTAATATTTTATGCATTATTTTATATAATTAGGTCAATATTTGATGTTAGAAAACCTTTTACTAGCTTTAGAAACTCAAATGAGTTAAAAGAAAAAAGATTTGACTCTGCATTGACTACTTTTCTTATTATCTTAAATAAAGCTTTAAATTAATTGTGAGGACACTTTTTCTATATATTCAAGGTCGTAGAATCGTTTAGTGGTCTCAGAAAGGCGCCAAAGTTTCTTATTTTGCCAAAAAACAGAATTTTTCGTATTTCGTTAGTTCCACCTTTTCGCCGCTAGATGGACGACAATTTTGTGGTCCATGAAATGCCTATTTTTCTTAATTTCTTAATTAAAGCTTAAAATTAATTGTGAATGCATTTTTCCTACGTATTTGAGGTCGTAGAATCATTTGGTGGCCTCAGAAAAGCCCAAAAGTATCTTATTTTGCCAAAAAAACGGAATTATCGGTTTCGTTAATTCCCAAGTTGGCCGCTAGATGGCGCTATCTATACCATTACCGACACGGGGAAGGTATTTTCGTAAAAAACATGTAGAAATTAAGTTTTTACAACATTCTTAATTTATTAACTCAATTATTTTACAAAAACTTTTGTTTCGAACACAAACTAAATCATTATAATACTTCAATTTACAATTTAAGCTTAAAAAAAGGAAGACAGTATCATTATCGATACGGATCAATTGTAAAAGAGCGGTGATTTACAAATTTAAAGCATTAGATAAATAAAGTCTTGAAGAATAAATAAATACAAACAAATTTTTCAATTTACAATTGCAAATATTTAAAGTATTCACGAAAGAGACCGAAAATTACCAATTATGGTCATTGTTTACTGTAATTTGCATTGAGCCATTTTTTATTAAGAATATTAACGAAGCACCTACATAATTATCTTCATTAAGCTTTAAACTTTAAATTGATATACCATAAGTGCCATTTTACGGTACTTTTATGTCATAAAATCATCCAAAAATATCCCATCCGCAGAAACTTTTACATGCAGGTTTTGTAAGGATCCAGCCAGTAATTAATTAATTATAAATAATTATAAATTTGATGGGTCGAACTTACAGAAACAATCACACTAAAAATTGCTAATAATTAATTAATTACTTGCAGGAGACTTCCTGTCCCTTCCTGTCCCTCCACCGTCTTACTTACCCTCCTCTGGCTCTTCACATGAAATTCTATCAAAATATGAGGCCTCAAAGAAATTGAACAACATTTTCAACGTCCTCTTTCATCTTTATATTCGAAGCGACTATCGCGGTACGATTTGTCCTCAAGCTCGAGAGATTCGTCTTCGTCACGGCGACTGCGTTCAATGTGTTAAAATTCGTGTCGCACGTACGTATGACGCGGAGGTAATTAAGTGGAGGAGCAGAGAGAGCCCCCGAGGTTGTGCAAAAGACGCGACCTGAGGAGCCGCGGAGGTCACAACTCGTGACCTACTTTATTCATCGACAACTGCTTCCTACTCGAACAACATCTTGTTCTTCCCCTTGTTCAACGTGGCAAACGTTGGCAAGCATCGACGGGCGGAAATATTGTCTTAAAAAAATTGTGTCGAGCATTAATCGGATACCAATCGAGAGGCTCACCTCCTAGTGACATCTCGAGTGATTCGTTCTTGACGGCCTTTGATAATTTACGGAATTTCAATTCAATAGATTCTAGGAATTTTTGCAAGTGGTTTTATGCACCGAGTAGAGACAGCGCCGATGGTGGCTAATGTGTGAACTTAGAGGGGAAATCCCAATTGGTCCTGACTTAACCTGTCTGCCAGTCTAACCTAACCTACCCTACTTCGAAAAATATTCAACAATACTTTAGCTAAAAAACATCCTCCACTAATTTTAATTTATATTTTCTTCTTTTCAGGATCCAAATCTCTAAAATGAAATCAATTTTCATTCTTTGTTGCACCTACCTGATCATCAGCTCTGTTATTGCTGGTGTGCCATTAACCAGACTTGAAGATTCTCAGAGTAATTTGTCAAAAAATTGTCAAATTCCAAAATGTCCGGAGGCATCACATGTGGAGGATCAAGGAAAAACAGTCAATCTGCCTTATCCTTTAGATTGTTTGCAGTATGTTGAATGCAAAGGATCCGAGGCTAGTATTCAGCCTTGTCCACCTGATGAAATTTTCGACCAGGTTAGTTTTTCCTTCTGAAATAAAATGGCAGTGCTTCTTGCAACAAAATGGAAACCAAAAATAAAAAATTTTATTTCTGGTTGTTAAGAACGATATGTAAAAAGGGTTGCGTGTCCTTTTGCGACTTATGCGAATAACAAGCGTGGCACGAGGTACTCGGCCTAAGTGCCCTGAACTCGAAGCACCCCTTAATACCCGTGGAACCCAGTCCCATCGTATCCAGTTACAAGGTTCCACGGTGCACGTGCTTATTGTAGTCGGGCACTTCACCTGACACGTGGCAATTTTCAATTCACCAGTTCGTACGATACGAGGCTGCTTGACTTTTTCATGTGACATTTGACAGAGGGACTAACCTCGCTTGAACCCGTTTCACCTAACAGATCCTGTTCCTTGTTTATTTTTAATTGGAACCCCTGATCGAATTTCGTTGAAAGAATACAGAAATAAATATATGAATTGAAATGGAATTAATTGAAAAGTTCCGGAATTAGGGGAGCCACAGTGGATTTGCCATTTTTAGGTTAGCTTCGTTTGAAAATTGAAAGAGGGTTAATTAAAATTTCCAACCAGCTCGTTAAATCACTTGTAAATGGATAATATTATTTTTGTTTAGAATACTTCTTCCTGTGGACCTCGGGACAAGGTGCGTTGTGTTCCCTGTTATCAACAAGGATAATAATTTATACAATGTATGGCAATTCTTAAGAACTTAATTTTTCAGATATTGAGATTAAAATTGATGTAGAAAAAAATAATAACATTTATGAATATCCAAGGAAATGTTTACTCATAATGGGCCCTCTTTCCTCCTAGCGCCATTTTCCTTAGGGAAGCCTACTCTACTCAACAATGTACCTGGAGATGACAGCTAAACTTTAATTTCTACCTCCAAACTATAATTGAAATTTTGTCCCTCAATCCAATTATTTCTATCACACATCACGTGTTCAATGTATTGCAATAATGGCACAGGGTAAAAATCGAGCCTTCGATATCACAGGGTAGTTTAGGTAGGAAGGGGGGTATATAAAAGGGAGGGTACAGTTTCTAGGTACGAAAGAGTGGGTCAAGTAATATCGACCATGCAGGAGCAGAAGAGGTATAGGAAAGGTTTGGTTTGTCTGCCTTCAATGGCCAAACTATATTTGTTTTTCCATATTGTACCGTCCAACAGATCAACTATATTTGTCCTAAGCTTTCTGTTGGCCTATAGCAAACGTGGTAGCAAAGGCAATTCGTTGTTCAATCAGTAATAGGCTTCCCTTTTATACAGGCCATTTCATTGGCTGATGTCAGCATCGTTAATGTCCTCGCGTACAAATTTTTCCACATGCATCATTCAACCAACGGATCGTCCGATGATCTCGCGAAATGTGAGAAGCGATTATACGAACGAAACAACTCTACTGTCATTATCGCACAATTAGAACTGTTCTGGGCTCGTTAAGTTCCCTCCATAAATTGGAAATTCTGACTCGTTAACCGACTTTGCCACACACTCAGACTTTCAGTCTTCGTCTATTTTTAGAATTACACGAAAGATTCATGATAATGAAAATTTTAGTTAACCTTCAAGTAATTGATTTTGAGGTTAACCTAAAAATAGAAGATCAAGGGAAGACACTGCAACTTGTCTGTTCAACATTCACGTTTACTCGTTTTCGTCAAGTTATCACGGATTCGTACAGAGAAACGCAACACGTGTTTATCTTGCGAGCGTGATTGCATTACTTGCCCTAAGAAATATGGCGTCCGTGTTCAATGACACTAGCAAAAGTACACAAGTTACGTGCAGCTATGCGTTTATGAATTCATGTGTCTTTGACGACTTTGGGAAACTTTCAGACAACTATCTTAACTCTAGATTGCCAAGGTGCATGAAATCCACCATTTTGTTTAGAGTTCCTTCTTATTCTAACCTTACTTGATGTTGGTCCTCGATGGGGACCAGCGCTAGGGGGCACGGGTAACACTGAAACAAATATAATAATTCTCTTAAATTAGTCACCCACACATTCTTATTCGGCTTGAACGCATAATTCAGAGAATGCCTCTCCTAACCGTCAGTGTCCGCCAAATTCTCGCATCGGAAGGACACATTGCTGTCGTTCAACGCATCGTGAATACCATATTTTTTACCGAGATGGCTTAGAAATTTTTGTCTTCTATTTAGTAGCTTGATAGGCTATCGCAAATAAGGAATTTTAGGTTAGCTGCGTAAGGTATAGGCATACAAGGCATGTAAGGCATTTTTCATATATCAATGAGGTCATATTTTTAAATACAGCATAACATTGAAAAATGTTCTGCACGAAAGGTCGTACGCCTCTCCATCTTCAATGACACGTACCTCGTCTGTCACACTTACCTACACGCGCAGTCTCACCTGCGACACCTGGACACACGGTCTGACCTACACAGCTGATCAGTGACACTGTTTGCATCCAACCTAGATCAATAATGGTACCGGCAAATACTAGTAAAAACCGTTTTCGATTCAGTATTAACTGTACAACGCGCCATCTTGAATAATGTTCTAACCTAACCCAACAACTATTACCTTAAGTTAGGTAACCTAACTTAACCCCACGCTTATTAACCCCTATTTTAGAATAAATAAACATTATTACTTACAGGACATCTAAAATTGAAATTTCTAAATAGTACCATGGTACCTTGCTGTGGGGGTTTCAATGGGGAATATTCACCATGGGTTAAATACACTTTAAACTTACTCCCCCGCCTATGAATAATTAATTTCTCCTTTTATAACGTTATACAAACTTCCTTACCGAAAAATCTCCATTTCTATTGACTCGTGCCAAACGGAGGCTCAACGCACGTCTCTGCGGGTTCACGGATTGTTGATTTTCCAGGTAGCTAAAAAGTACCTGTAATCATAAGGCAAAGATATCTGTCCCGAGGCTCGCGTCCACCTGGATTCTCGGAGAGTTCGTGTGAGTCGCGGTATACGAGGCGCAAACTCGCGTTTCTTGGCTCAGTCCACGCCTCCAGCTTCGATCCCGGTCGGGGGTTGTCGAAGAGGAGGGAGACCACGTTGAGGAGAATGGAGGTGGACGAACGACGGAAAGGTCGGCGGTAAAAGGAACGGAGGGAGTGAGATAGAAGCAGGACGAGAGGGTAGGATGCACCCCCGTGAATCGCTATGACGTCACGGGGTCGAATCAATATCACGGAACCGTTCCTCCGCCGCCAGTCCTCGACGACGAGAAGGATACCTTGTGTTCAGTACGGGGTGGCCTCCACGACTGTTACGGACGTCGGGAACACGTCGTTCTCGCGTCAACGACACCGGCTGTCGTTCCTCCTCAGCTTCGAGTATATCTTTTCTTTTCTTTTCGTTTTTTTTTGTTCGTTCGTTGATCGGTGAATGATTCAGTGAATGATTGTCGTGCAAAAGTGGAGGTGCGATATCGAAGTCATCTCGACCAGTTGAAAGGTCATTTGGTGAATCTGTAAGTATAATTCGTGTAATTAGTAGTTGAAGTAGCCTGCTTTTAAGGAATGACATTTTCGTTCATAGTAGATAGACATTCCACCCGTGTACGTGCCGAATTTCAATTTTATTTTTGATCCGCTGTTGTTGTCTAGATGGTAACGTTTGTCTGGCACAGCTGTCCATGAAGGATAGGTTGATCTGTTTCAAGAACACCTGTAAAATACTTTTGTACATTCGGGTGCAACGTAGACTTTTCTTGATTAAGGATAAACGTAAGCCTTCCACCATTTTTGGTTCTGGGAGAATCCAGGGGGAACCAAGGTAGCCTGGGGGGAACCTAACCTGGAACCTCCTGTCTTCCTACAGGGCATGCGGTGGGATATTTCTTTTTCTACGCTCCCTTTTAACTAAGGCAATACTGTGAAACCCTCAATGATCGATCTGAATGAAATTAAGTAGGTTTAAGGAATGATCCATGCCTTCAGAACAACGGTATGTCCGAAAGTCAAGTAGGATCTCCACTTTTCTGCATATAACTCTTCAAATACAACAGGTATAGAAAAATGTTTTAAACAAAAGTTTAACAATATAACAAGCTTCACAAAACTGCCTTGTCAGAATTTTGAAAAAAAATTTTTCAAAATGTTTTTTTTCCGAGAATAACTTTTTTTCAGAATTTTGTTAGTAGAGGTTTGTAGCTTTTATCCAACCATTAAACTTTTATTTCAAATATTGTTCTATATCTGCTTTCTTTAAAAGTAGGACCTGAAAAAGTGAAGCGCCCATTTGGCTTGAGGCCCTGTCTGTAGGGCCTCAATGAATAATCGGGCAGGAATGAATCATCGTCATTTTATACATTCATAAAGTTCATCCAGATTGGGGAATAATACTTCCTTGCGGGGGAAGCGTATGTTGCACGCGACGGTACATGTGCGGAACCCGAAATGCCATGACCTCGTAAGAAATACTTGCACTGCTGGAGGGAACGACGTCGTTCTTTCAGGTGAAGGACCATACTGATCCCGGTGATCGGTACTGGTACCACGGACCAGGAAGGATACCGAGGAGGAAGTAAAGGTAGCAGCAGAGGAAGTAGCAGGCTTGGTGAGTTGGGTGAAAATCGATGGCCATCAGCGCCCATGGGCGGCCTCGCGTTTAGAACAAGGAATAGCCCCTCCCAGAAGACCTCGCTCCGGTGGGGCGATTGCTGCCCCCCAAATCCCATCCCTCCATCGTCGTCGGCCGTCTGGAAGGACCATCACCAGGACATGCCGTTGGTACCCGTGTGAGGCTGCCCCCCGCTACTGCGTGACTGTACCCCGCGGGGTCATCAGAGGTACCATCAACATTTTTTCTTCTCGGCTTCGCGTGCAGGCTAAAAATAAATCCTCCCCACACAGTTTTATGCACACGCTTTCTTTCATTAATTTTTTTCTTTTTTTACTTTCGAAATCCCTGATTTTTATCATTATGACTATGGTTTGCCTTGATGTAAGCACGAAAGGACCATGTAGCTTCGGTGCACAATGATGTTCTAGCAACTTAAAAGGGTTTTGTAAATAAATGAAATTGTTAAACTCTTCGAACGACCACCCGGATCACTGTCGGACGTAGCTGTAAACTTCTCTATCGATAGGCGCGGCGAGTGACCGAGTCTTCCTCCGCTAACACCCGTCGATTTAATGGTAGAGCCTTGAAACTTTCTGCTTTATTTACATACACGTGGAGAGACCGTTTTTACGCGAGTAAGGTTACGCGTTTCTTGTGCAACGCCTGGGATAGTATACGTGCAGGGTGAAGCGGGACTAATGGGATTAGAGGGTGAACTCAGCCGAGCGATTTAAATGCCTTCTGGACAGGAACATAGAATTTACGGTTAACTGCACGCGTTAGGCGCCGGCGCGTCAAACCGCACCGTTAATTGAGTAAAAAAACGAAATGCAATTTATCCAAAGTAATCAAATCTCTTCGTATATAAAACTGAACTTGAAGAATTATTTAAAGAACAGTTTTAAGAAATTCCCAATAATTAGACGGTTACCTAGAATAATACCTGCTTACATTTATCATTTTGTTAAGTTTCAATCACGCCAACCTTTTGTCGAGCTTTTGAGAAGAAAGAATACTGTGTACATTCGGGTGCAAAGTAGGCTTCCACGTGTACAGCCCCACTCCTATCCTCCTATATAAATAACACGAGTGGGAGGACCTCCTTCTCCTACACCAGGGCTCGGAATTTACTGCTCTCTTTGGCCAGGTTTAAGAGGCTATGTCCCTTTTCTCCCATCACTCGTCGTGCCCCGCGAGAGGGCCTTAGCACTCGAGGCACCTCAGGCGCATGCCGTATGAATCGTGCCCCATGGGTGATACTGAAACCTATTACTCGAGTATAGTCCTAATGCGTTTACATACGGCACACGCCTGAGGTGTCTCGAGGACTAAGGCCCTCGCGCAGGGCACCGCGAGTGGCGGGAGGAAAGAGGCGTAGCCTCTGAATTCCGAGCCCTGTCCTACACCGATGGAAGCCTAAGTTACACGCGAGCGTAATATGCAGAAGATGTCACCACTTTCGTTTATACGGTTGCTTGTTTCTTATTGAAACGCAGGTATCCGAATTTCCCAAAGTCGGATCGGCCGGCGAACCACCCGAACTTACGTCTACGTCAGTTCGAGTTCACCCAGGTGGACCCGTACTCCCCGAAGATGATCAACTTGGCCGGTCTTGTCTCGATCATTCTCTTCTACGTGCTGATCTTAGCCGTAGGAATATGGGCGGCCAGGAAGAAGGAGGCCGGCAACAACTCCGAGGAGGAAGTCATGCTAGCGGGTCGTTCGATTGGAATGTTCGTCGGTATATTTACCATGACCGCGACTTGGGTCGGAGGTGGTTACATCAACGGCACTGCGGAGGCCATTTACACCAGGGGTCTTGTATGGTGCCAAGCTCCTTTCGGATATGCCCTCAGCCTCGTTTTCGGTGAGTTGATACTACACCGTCGCTATCCCCACCAATTCTTGGAAACAGAACCTCGGAGTGAGTTCCCCACGTGCAGAGTGAAATTTGACAAGTCAAAGGCTCGAGCCAATATTCAGTTGAATTCGCAGAAGTCACCTCCCCAGTTAAGCGTCCGTATACGGTCCCAACTGCGGACGCTTAAGTGGGCAATACTGTATTTTTAACACGTTCTTCCCAATTTGGATAGATTTAAGACTGTATCTGTTACCCCCGGCCCGGACGTCTTAAATGTATTAATTAAAATACACGACTGTCTTTCTCTGTTATAGGCGGTATATTCTTCGCGAACAAGATGCGAGAACAGGGGTACATCACGATGTTAGATCCTCTTCAGGATGCGTTTGGCGAACGTATGGGAGGTCTACTGTTTCTTCCTGCCCTGTGCGGCGAGGTCTTCTGGGCCGCAGGTATCCTAGCAGCTTTGGGTGCCACCTTGGCGGTTATCATTGACATGGACCAGGGTTATTCGGTCATTTTGAGCGCTTGCATCGCCATTTTTTACACGCTCTTCGGAGGCCTTTATTCCGTTGCATATACCGACGTTATTCAGCTTTTTTGCATTTTCATTGGGCTGGTAAGTTTAAACAATATCTTAATAATAATATCATATTTTCCTTTTTTCTTTTTTCATCATAATAGCAATTTTTGTATACAGTTTCTTTATCGAAGGTTATCATGTATTGATTTTATCATCTTCAGTTATCGATAGCTTGCAGTCTGCTCTTCCATGTGGAGAGTGCTTGAAATTTTTCAAACGATAGTAGAGCCTTTATTACTGCTCAAATGAAATATATTAGCAAACATATTTCATATCTTTTTATCGCAAATCCATATAGACCACTCATTAGCTGTAATAGGTTTAGGTTAGATTAGCCTAACCTAACTTTACCATGATATAATCTCCACATGGACCACAGGACGAAGATAGCATCATTCTCTTTCATTTAGCTCAACATAAAAGCTTTTCAAAGTGTACCCTTGCAACTTGGTCCTTTCATTTATCACACTCTATCCGCGTTTCATTAACTTTTGATAAGTTGAATGCTGCAGGGGTCACTGGTGACAAGCTGACAATTTTAATTACAGTGGATGTGCATTCCATTCGCATGGGCGAATCCAAAAGTGGAATCACTCAGTTCCATGGACGTGGATTGGATCGGTGAAGTGGACTCAAAGGAGTACTGGTCATACGTAGATAACGGACTTTTGTTAATATTTGGTGGTATTCCGTGGCAAGTGTACTTCCAACGTGTGCTGTCGTCGAAATCGGCGACCAGGGCTCAGATATTGAGTTACGTGGCTGCGATAGGCTGCATCCTGATGGCCATCCCTCCTGTCCTGATCGGTGCAATCGCCAAAGCGACGCGTAAGTGAAGTTTCTTCAAATTTAATTAGAGTAGACCTTCGTTATACTGCTCTGGAGTGGGTAGATCTACCATAGAAAATGTACAGAATACCTGAACCATCTGTACATCTACGAATCGTCCCTCCTTGTCCCATCCAAGGGTGAGAAAGACGTGTTTCATGGATCCTCGAAGCTAAAGGGGATCGAATTAGACCCGGTTTGCTCGTCACCCCTCCGTTCGAATTCGAAGGCTACTTGACATTTGGTGGTATCGTAGAGAGAGAGGGAACTGCTGGTATTTACAGGGTTCCAGGGCTAAGCGGGTCGGTGTTGTAACGGAAGGGTGTGTGGGCGAAGGGTTCTTTGATATCCCACAGGGTGTACAATAGCGTGGGATTTTGTCACATGACGTTGCCGAGGCGAGGGTGGCAATACCGCTCGTTCACCAACGCGGAATACAATAGAATCACCGGAACTAATGCGACACAATAGGTCAGCATCCTGTATATTTCTCTTCTGTATACAAAGACAAATGTTTTTTCAGCTGTAGACATTTTTTTAATTTGGGACGAGTCGTTACGCCATACCCTCAGTAACTGGGTCGTACACACTACTTGAATTCGTACTTTTAGAGCGGGTTTACAAAAGGCAAGTAGATCTTGCCTGCACCTGGGGGCGAGGAAGACAGAGAGGGCCTGCCCTACGAGCTACCTTCCTTGCCCCCATGTATCGGCGAAGCCTACTGGCCCAACTACTTGGCCTTATAGGAGCCTATGTCCCTTCCATCCTGGTCAACTAGGCTCGCATTTTTTCAGCTATAATAACAAGACAACATATGAACAATCTGTTGCAGCCTGGAACGAAACTGATTACAAGGGGCCATATCCTCTGACCGTGGATGAAACAAGCATGATCCTACCGATGGTCTTGCAGTATCTGACGCCAGATTTCGTTTCCTTTTTCGGATTAGGCGCAGTATCGGCGGCGGTGATGTCATCGGCCGATAGTAGCATCCTCTCAGCTAGTTCCATGTTCGCCAGAAACGTGTATAAATTGATCTTCCGTCAGAGGGTAAGTGCTGCGTGTTTACGTAGACGGTCCTTCCTTTATTTATCACTTTCATAGCGCGTCATTCATTCAACCATCCCGTGGTCTCGACTGTCGTCATTCTCATTTAACAATCATCATCATCATCATCTTCATCGCAATCACCGTTACTTATCATTCGTCATCGGTATACATTCTTCGAAGCAACATACGTAAGCTGTTGTCTCTTCATCGTTTCTCGGTAAGACAGGTATCGCGACACCTAGGACCATCGGCCATTCCCGGCAAATCTCTAGCCGTTGTCTCGTGAACGGCTAAAATAGATCCTTCATTCATATACCAACACATTGTTGTTCACTCATACTGGCATCTCGAAGCGATACGACGTCCGGTCCTTGTCTATTACCCATTTCCCCTGAACAGGCGTCGGAAAAAGAGATCATCTGGGTGATGAGACTGGGGATAGGCGTAGTCGGAGTGTTGAGCACGGTGATGGCTCTGACGATACCCTCGATCTACGGCCTTTGGTCGATGTGCTCGGACCTGGTCTACGTGATCCTCTTCCCCCAACTGTTGATGGTGGTCCACTTCAAAGATAACTGCAACACTTACGGCAGCCTGTCCGCTTACATAATAGCTTTCTTGGTGAGGGTCAGCGGCGGGGAGCCGTTGTTAGGTCTGCCTGCGCTGATCCACTATCCGGGATACGACGAGGAGACCAAGACCCAGACGTTCCCTTTTAGAACGATGGCCATGCTGCTGTCGTTGGTGACGCTGATAGGCGTGTCGTACGGCACGCAGGTGGCCTTCCTGACCGGCAGGGTGGCGCCTGGTTACGACGTCTTCAGGTGCGTCGTCAACATACCGGAAGATGTCGAGAGGGTAGGCCCGGACCCGGCGGAAGGCGAACAAATGGCCGTCCTGGCTGCTGGTGTCGGCAGACTGTACGGCAGCAAGGACGAATCGAACGGACGAGTGAATCCTGCGCTCGAGCCGGACTACGACATGGAGCCGGGGTACAAAGCACCCGGGATGATGGAGGGCGTTGTGGGCGGAGGAGGCGGCGGAGGCGCTGGGGCGCACCTGGTGCCTCACGGACCGAATGTGCCACGACAGCCGCAATCCAGCACCGAGTTCTAATCCCCCTGGTTCCGTGATCGGATGCTGTGACCAACAATAAATGCGGCGGTACAGGTCTGTTCTAGGTTTATTCTTCTAGGATAATTATGGGAGATTTGGTACACCCTTGTTATTTTAAAATAGATCACTCCGGGCTGTTACTTAAAGATCGTTCAGACTAGGTTAGTAACTGGTGAAGGGAGATGACCCAAAGCTTCTGGGTACCTATCCCCCTTGCTAGTTATTCACCTAATCTGAACGGTCCTTTGTAGAATGAGGAATTTTCTTTATTTTTCAAGATTTTACACTTTTTTTATACAAGTCAAGAAATACTGCTTTACCGAAATAGGTTATGTTCGACGCAGTAGAGGTAAGACAGTATGGCGTCTTTCTCGAGCGTTTGGAGATTAGGTTTCTCAACTGTGCGCCAGCTATCTCATAATTATTCCTTCGTTTCATCATCATCGTCCCTATGCTTTGGAAGAGTTCTCTGTTTCTAGTAAATTAGGACTAACATTCTATCGATAAATTAGAAGCGTGCCTGCTTTCGCTAGTAAATACAGTAAAGATTCAATGAAAGCGAAAAAGATCCGTTCGGTCCCGAGGGTTTCGAATCTTTACTGTAGAATCTTTACGTTTAATTGGTTTTCATTCATTTCTCCTGATTTCTCGCCCACGTCCAAGAAGCTTCGAGCCTAACCAAAGCCAATCTGTTCCAAGTTTCAAACGAATCTTCTTTCGTACATTCGCGTTTATACGTTAGCTACGGTGTCGTGTACCTGCTTGAAGAACGCTCGTTCGTGCTCTTACGTAGCGAAAGCAATAGACGAATAAATATAAAGGACAATTTGGTGAGAGAGAAAGAGATCGAACGGGCGAACAAGGAATCGAAGATTAAATGCAATACTTTATAAGAACCGAAGCTTTTTGGATAGTCGGATCAGATGATTTTCGCCTGTACCGCCAATTAGGCCTAGTAAATAAACCTTGTTTCCTTTTTGAGAAGTATATATATATGCGATGTCTTCAGGTGCGTCGTGGTATATTATATTATATACGAAAGTATGTTGTATGTATATTTAGAGTTGATCAAACCGCTTGGAGAGGAGTAACGTCTCGATGCATCGACCGAACTGTCCCCCTTTATTATTAAGTAGCTCAGTGATCGTGACGATTTCTCGAGAAAGTATACTACTCGATCGGTTAACGTAATTATTCATTTAGGATGACAGGCTGTTGATGGCGGTTCTTAACCATTCACTGTTAAACAAGTAATTAATATTTAAAAATTTTTAGTATTTAATTTCAATTTGGGTCAAGATTGACATAGCTTACCTTAATAAATTTCTTCTAATTCGTCTGTAAAATTAATAACAGATAAATAAAAAAAAAACTATCGTTTAAATGTTATGAATAATTTTCATTGTAAAATTATATAAACGGATCGGTCGTTGCACAGACTCGTTGTGTTTACTATATAGTATATATACATATATATATATAAACATATACACACACAGACACACAATGTATGATATAATCGGTATTAAAACGAGACGAATGAATTAGCATTGTCGAAAGAAAGATTCCTCTAGGCAGACGTACACGTAACACATCCACAAAAGAAGACTAATACCAGTAGCTTTCACCGTAGACACGATGATTGCCCTCCGAACAATGCATACACACACAAAAGATAACGAAGACTAATATTAGCGATGTTAGTTTTAATCGAGCGATTGTATTGTTTGACGTAGCAAGGGCTATCATGTGTTGATGCCAGTACAATGGCGTTATTGCTCATTGTAGTTGCTCATCCTCATTGTTTATCGAAAGAAATTGAGAGATCGTATACGTACATAACCTCTCAAAAGCATTAGGACACTTGAAAAATTGTTTGATGACTCAATGTGATTTTTATTTCATATATTTTATACTGTTTTAGATATTATTTTCGAAATTTGAGAGGTTAATTTTAGTTACCGTTCCGTTGTACAATGGGGAACATAATAGACTTCCCTAGGGAAAATGGCGATCTAGGGGAATCAGTATTACCACTCGCGTGTAAATGCTTACTATTAGTATTCTTGCAAGCTGAGTTAACGTGTGGTGATTTTTGAGTATTATAACGATTGGTAGCACCTCCTTCGCCATTTTCCCTAGGAAAGCTACCATGTTCGGTCTGTACACATTTCATAGGTGTAGGTCACGATCGACCCAACCACTGCCATTTGAAAAAAAATATCAATCCCAGAAATCAAATTTTTCACATAAAAATGGGAATAATTGAAAGTTTCGTGCAAAATTTTAAATGTGTTCTAATACTTTTGAGTGGCACTATAATTGTTAAACGAGTAGTTCCTATTCATTTCTCATATCCCCAAATAACAGCAAACCTGTTCCCATCGTTTTCGTTAATATTTATTCATGGATACACGACAGATTGAAACGGCACCCTCTTTTTTCCCGATGAAAGACAACCGAATAACGCACACAATTATTTCTAAAGCAGCGTTTTGAATGAAACCCCTGTATACAGTTATTGTTTCCGAGAAGTAGAATGATAAAGTGATTATTGAGAGAAGCTCGAGATACTATTGTTCTGCACAAAAGGTCATCGTAACGAATTAACCTGGCAGTCAGGAAGGATCTTTTTGGTGCGTTTAATTAAAATGACAGGAAGAAGAGAAACGCATATGCATGTTCATCTTCCGAGTATTTTCAAAGGAACTTTCACTCGAGTATTCAGTCGCTCGATTGAGCCAAGTTAATCGCAGACAACGAAAGGAAGAATTATCGTCATTATACTTTCGGTAAAATGATTTTACAGTAGACATACCGTCTCCTTTTTACGACTAACGGTTGTAAAATGAAGAACAATCGACCGAGAAAAGAGAAACCGAACATTTTCTAAATTATCTGAGAACACAGTTTTCTTGCGCATTTCGAATAATCTTTGTTTTCCTTTATTGGTATAATTTTCTGTTCGACGACTTTTACTCTTATGACAAGTGGAGCCCATTCTGGGGGGCTGAAAGAGGAAGAAACTTAGAAAGCACCACTGCTTTCTCTCTCGGCTCTGTCCGTCACTAATCGGATATTTTCGTAACCACTGGCGTCGACGAAACAGTTTCTCGATCTCAGAAATCTAGTTTCCTAGTGTGATTAGTAAATTCCCTGCATATCCACTAGAAAATTTTCTATTGCATTCTATTTTCTATTTTGCTATTGTAAAAACTAGTGATTTTTGCAGTGATATATAGATACCTTTCAGAAAAATAGAATTCCCCAAGCAGGGTTTGAAGTGGGAACCTAACCTAGTAATCCCCCCAAGATATGTCTTTCCATAATTCCTTTTATTAGGTCTCATACCCTCTTTTATTCCCTGCTATGTATCACACTACTCTGAATCGCTTTAACAAAAAGATCTTTCCTGCAGAATGTTAGGTTAACCCAACTATTCATTAAATACCTCATCTTTCCTTGAGTGCTGTTTGCAAACATTGCACAAACAGGAACTACTATTGTATCGATGCGTCCATATAGTAGAAACCTGACACATTTGTAGTGTCCGTAAATGTTAATTAAGAAATCGGCTACGATCGCTATGCATATCAACCGATGTGCATTGTAACCAACGATGTAATCTATACATATCATGATGCGTGATCTACGTGTATTAGGTATTTAGCGTGTAAGGTAAGGAAATAAACTAAGAAAATCATAATTAAAAAAAAAAAGAAGAAACCAAAGACATGTATATACGTATTATTATATATTATAATTATAGCGTTGTTATCCTCTCGTTAAATGGACCGATGAGGGAGGGGGTGTTAGGTTAGGTACGCAGAATTCGAGGAACAACTTTTTAGAGTTCCTCGAAACGTTTTTCGAAAATGCAAGTGTGAAAAAGAATGATGAGAATGAAAACGATGGGCTGCCTGAACGCCGAATGGAAAATGGTTCCAGTTGAACTTAGTTGATGATGCTAATGAAAAAAAAAAAAAAAAGTAATCTGTAATATGTTAACAGAACAGCGACGTTCTTCGACTAACTAGCCTGCTTTTCAAACCGAATCGTGTACTTACTGTTACATAACCTTTGTCCTATCTCGCCAGCTTGGGACGCCTACCTATCCATAGAGTATTATTATTATTATGTGTAAAGAAAAAAACAAGAAATGACAAAAGACGCCCAACTTATCCCGTAAGAGTATATCCATGTATATGTATTACGAAAGCGTTATTGTATTATACGATACTATTATACGTGTATAATTGAGAAGTTGAACGCGATGTTGATTGTAAATGTTAAAAATAAACAGTGTATAAAAAACAATACTGTGCTTTACTTTTCGACTATGTAGAGCAGGAGGTACGTGTAGCCTGCCCATTGGGCACTGATGGGCAGTCAACTTCGAAAATTTTCCAATTTCCATATCTCCAAATTTCTAAATCTGAGAATTTGGAAGTAGGCCAGGAGAAGGGATATTTTGCCAGAAGGGAGTCGATTCGATTCCGTAGGTCACTGATATCGATATGCGTTTGTAGCCAAGTCCCGATAGAAATAGAGAGAATTCTTACTTATTTATGTCTTTCCGGTATTCGAGTCGGAGGATCGATAAATTGATCGACTGACTGCGTCGTTCAGTTAACTTCGGGACCAGCACAATCGTCTCTACAGCCGATTGTTTTATTCTTACTTCCGAAGGGTAGCCTCGGTGAACTTCCTCAGTCTCGCGAGGTATGTACACTGCCTTTATTCAGTATAGCGACTTTATTAGTACAAAAAAAGCATTTTTACAAAATAAATAAGTTACAGACTCTGAATGAGGAATGAACGTTGTCTCCCGTCTCAATTTCCCTCCCTTACATTCCCCCACCTCCTTCCGCTATTTGCAGCGGCCATAGTCCATACGATTCTGTTTCTGTCGATTCGAAGATAAATATTATCGTGTAAGTTGTTCCTGACAGTAAGTAGAAACAAGGTTAGCATAGATCATCTTATAACCTTCTTCGTACCTCCTTTCTACTAGTTACCAGGAATGCACACTTAAGTTTTCGTTACGTTCAATCATTTTACTCTGAATGCTTGGGGAGCGACGTCGAGCCCGAGAGGATGACTACCGATTTCTCTTCATTCCTTTTACTGTCAGCAGATGTTCCATTGGATCGATAAATCTTGGTGCGTTGAATGACATTTTCACGTTTCGATTGTAGCACGGAGGACATTGACGCGTTTAGGTTACTTTGATTCGCCCGATGATGCTCGATGACTGATGAAACAAGGTCGAAGGTCGTCGCAAGGGGTGAAGATACCCGGCGATTAATATTGATAACCTCCGTTGCTAGCGTACCCTTGACCACCTCCGCCACCTCCAGAATAGCCGCCTCCGCCACCTCCAGAGTAGCCACCTCCGCCTCCTCCAGAGTAGCCGCCTCCGCCTCCAGAGTACCCACCACCACCTCCGGAGTAGCCACCTCCGCCACCTCCAGAGTAACCACCTCCACCACCTCCAGAGTAGCCGCCACCGTTGGAATATCCACCGCCGCCGTTCGAGTAACCGCCGCCGCCTCCTGAGTAGCCTCCGCCACCGCCGGAATAGCCACCTCTACCGCCGCCGCCGTTAGAGTAACCACCTCCGCCTCCAGAATATCCACGTCCGCTAGAATCGAGGCAAAATGAATTTAAACGTGCGGCTACTAGAACCTGCATTCGTCTAATAATCACAGAGCCCCCAGAGAATATTTGGTCCTATGGCAAAGGACGTTAGGACCTATATAGGGCCCAGCCTCCCTAGAGGGATAGGCACTTTAGGGCCCAGACCCATACTCTCCCTCGGGGCTCTGTTCAGTTACATGAAAGCACGTCGTGATCGTTACAGTGCTCAATTGCAATTATAATAAATTGGTGAAGATAGTATAAAAATAATGTAAGACCATTACCCTCCATTGAAACTGCCACCACCGGTGCTAGGTGTACCGTAAGACGAAGATGGTCTTGAATATCCGCCACCGCCTCCAGTGGGAGCACCATAGCTGGAGGACAGTCCACCGCCGCCGGAACTAGGTGCGCCATAAGACGAGGACAGTGATCCCCCACCTCCACCGCCACGGGACGGGGCACCGTAGCTTGACGAGATTCCGCCACCGAAACCGCCACCGAAACCGCCACCGCCACCGAAACCGCCGCCGCCACCGGACGAGGGGGCGCCATAGCTGCTGGATGGTGCACCATTGCCGCTAGAGGGCGCTCCGTAGCTACTCGATGGGGCTCCATAGTTGCTAGAGGGGGCTCCGTAGGTGGAGGAAGGACGACCACCGCCACCGCCACCACCACCTCCACCACCTCCGTTAGGTGCCCCGTAACTAGAGGATGGGGCGCCGAAGCTTCCGCCGTTTCCGCCGCTTCCGCCTCCTATGTTCGGTGTCCCATAACTCGTTGATGGTGGTAAATAGCTGCCTGAGATTGGCGCTGTAAACATTTACATACATTTTTAGAATAATTATGTATCTTTGAAAAATCGCAACCTAACCTAACCTAATCTCTTTTCCCTATGTCGCCATTTTCCCTAGGGAAGTCCTCCATGCTTGGTACTGTACATAACTGGGCAAGTATCGCAATTACTTTAATTAATTAATATAGACGAATTATTTCGAAAAGATTTACGAAGGAAGAATAATATTCATCTTCCGCTTTTTATCCGTGTCGTGCAACGTTAACTAGATCATGAAAGACTTCCGGTTTTGGTGTTTGTGCTGGTCGTTAGTCGGTGAAAGTGTGGGAAATTTCTAAACGAATTCACCTTCGCGATTTCATGTTGTCTTCGCCTGCACATCTGCAGCTTCCATCTTTCAGATTACGGAGGTTAACAGCCACAATCTGTTCGCATCGTTTTTAATCAAGTTCGTGACTGAATCATTCCTCGACGATACTTCATTACCGGAAGAGCGTTTATAATTGAACGTCCGCAGCTTCTATTTCACTTAATAATTCGTTAATCAACATCCCCTCAATTTATACTTGTCCCAAGAATAATTGTTATTTCGAAAATTATGTTATGCAATAAACAATTTCTTACCAAATTTTGATTATTAATTATATGTAATTTAAATTAATTACACGTGAGAAAAATTATGAAATTTTACTGCTTAATTATCAGAATATCCAAATTGGAGGATCATAGTGCTATGAAATCATAATTTCTATTGAGAAACCTAATTGCATCATGTAATGTACTTAATTACACACTTATCAATCTGTTCACGATACCAATATAGTAATTACATCAACAGAATCCTATTATTATTTAAGTCCCACCGTGCTTTGAATATTTTATAGGTTATATTCAGTCAATATACAGAGCGTTCCAATGTTAATGGTACTTTTAGGAAGGGGGTGATTTAACATACAAAACTTCCTATATTTTTGTCTGCCCTAAGTGAATATACTTCACTTTTTTAACTTTAAGAAGTTAAAATTCTAATTTAAAGAATATCACTGGGTAAGATACTGGCGCCATAACTAAAGGGTTAAGGTGACCATGTACTTTTATCCAAAAGTGTGCCAGGTTGTTCCAATAGCTTATTCCTGGCTCCTCAACGATTTCTATTTTTTCTTCGCGTCCTGGTTTTTCAATTCCGCGCCCGAGAGAAACTTGCCGCAACGCAGTCGCGTGAAATGTAAGTAAGTCTTTCACTTGGTAATGTGGATAGTTCTACCACGTTGAGTTAATCGTCGTATCATAGAATATCGATATCACGTATCGTCCTGATTGCCCATCGACGCTTTCTATTCTTTCCTTTGCTTTCCACTTTTTTCTATGTCGAGCTCCATGGCTACCAAATAGCGTAAAATTATAGAGAAACTCGATCGTGATACTTAAGTGTAATGAGGTGATGGGCATTTCATGTGCTCGCCCTAGAGTACTGGTGTGCAGGGTGAGTGGAGCGACGAGGTGGGAGGAGTATGAAATTTCTAAATTTCCAAATTATCGAATTTGGTAATATGGAAGCTTAGAAATATCAAATTTTCGAATTTATTACTTTTCAAATTTCCAAGTATCCAAATTTTCCATTATTCAAATTTCCAAGTATCCAAATTTCCCAGTATCTAAGTTTTCAAGTATCCAAATTTTCCATTATTCAAATTTCTAAGTATCCAAGTTTCCCATTATTCAAATTTCCAAGTATCAAAATTTCCCAGTGTCTAAGTTTCCAAGTATCCAAATTTCCCAGTATCTAAGTTTTCAAGTATCCAAATTTTCCATTATTCAAATTTTTAAGTATCCAAATTTTCCAGTATCCAAGTTTCCAAGTATCCAAATTTTCCATTATTCAAATTTCTAAGTATCCAAATTTCCCATTATTCAAATTTCCAAGTATCCAAATTTCCCAGTATCTAAGTTTCCAAGTATCCAAGTTTCTAATTTTCCAAATATTCAAATACCTAAATTTCCAAATGACCAAACTTGAAACTAATAATTGAAAATCTGAAAATTTAGTACCCTCGGTGCCCCTCACTTGCACACCTCTGCTTCGAAGTGTCAACGTATAGCACATCAAACAATTATGTATTTTTTATAATTCTTACCATCGGCTGAGATGGACTGCCAGAATAGGGCCGTAGTAAGCACGGCCGCGGCCAGGGTGGCCCAGCTCTTTGCGGGCCTCATACTCCCTGACGATTGGTCGACGAAGCTGGAAGGGTGCAGCCGACGATGATTCACATGCACGAACCACCCCGATCGGACGTAAGAAAACGATCACAGGTAAAAATCAAATGAAAATCAGAAACGTCGAGACGACTTGGTCCGTACGACGCATCCGTAAGATTTCGTCTAACGTGCTTCAAACATCGTCCATGTCGTTTATATAGTAGCTGGTCTTTTGGAGAAAGTCCTCGTGGGAGTGCAAGAGGATGCTAGGCTAGACATCATGGGGTGAAAGACACGAACAGTAATAGGAGGAGGGGGGGGGGATAAGGAATCAATGAGGAGGGGGATAGACAGGAGATGCGCCACGTTTGACCCTGGTCAGCTTGTTAACACCTTTTTCTTTTTTAAGCTCCTTCTCTCTTGTGTTCGTCACGAACTTGATGATCTCTTTAAGATGAATCGCCGCCAGACATGTCCTTGATGTCATACTTGATGGAACAATGATCGAGGATGATGGGTAGTTGGTAAGTACCATTTACTCGATGTTTCGTCATTATATTAATATCTTTATGTAAGTTTCGTAACAGTTCAAATGATCGTCCACTTCTCGAAGTATGTCCTCTTTTTTGGCTGACGACGGTTCTTTGGTTAAATTAAGGTCGAGATATAAATCAGAGTTTCTTTCTTTGCATCCTTGTTGTCCCAGTGAAATTTTGAACAGACGATTATTGGAATCGTGCTTCGAATTTGTTAAACTGAGCAAAAGTTTCTCGTGGGAGGTTTTCGAGCAAGGAAGCACCTGCATTCTTAATAGACGTTTTGCATTTTCAATGATGACATGTGAGACGCTCCTTTTCTAGGGAAAATTGAGTTTCCCTAGAAAAATTTGTTTCTAAACTTTTAACAACGTTTAATTAGTATCAGTCATAAAAGAGTATTAGTATTGAGTACCTCAGATACTTCTTTGTGAAATTATTTTGGTAAGTAATGAGAGTACTTAAATATTAGATATTGGATACTTGAATACTAGATACTAGATACTAGTTGTTCCAGTTGAAATTAGTATCTGAGGGTACTCTAATTTAATAGAATTAAGCTCCTTTCAAGTACCTCACTTGAGTTAGTACTTTCCCCAAATACTAGATACCAGTATTAAATACTTGTAACACTAGTATCCAATATAAAATACTAAATGCTACCAAATTTCTGAAAATTCCTCGATTCAATGCAATCCAAGAACGATTGCATTGGAGGAGACTTAAATTTCCTGCACGTTCTGTTTAAAATGAATTATTATTTTGAATTATGTGAACAGCTTACGAGTTATCGAGTGGAGATAAAAACTTTTCTCACTATTATGAAGCAACAAGATATAATACGAATTACCTGGCAACTGATCAGACCGATAGTTACAGCAGATTTTTTACGCAACGAACAATGTTTTAGTGAAAGCCATAATTCCATTAGATTAGGATTAGGATGCATCAGAGCTGACATACTGCATCAGTGCACACGACTACTGCTGCTTAACCCTTGATCAGGGAACAAGAATTCAGGAGGCTCTGAAAGCATTCTGTAAATATTCCTTTTCAATTTACATTAAATTACCATAAAATCAGGGGGGGGGGGGGGGGGGGGGGGGCATAAATGGGAAGCTATGATACGAAGTAAAAATTCCTGTTATGTCAAAATAATATTTATTTTTAAAAATCACCTGATCCATATCGAATTAATGGAACAGTGAACCGCCTAGAATTGAATGTTTCATTTTTGTATAGCAATCATTGTTGCAATCAATTGTTCACTGGATGATGAACGCATTCGAATCTGGGCCAAAGTGTTCGTATTACAGTAACGTTGTCATACTCGTCGCATCTTAGCCAGCATTAGCTTAGTTATTGCTACACGAGCAATAATAAATCGTCGATTTAGCAACGTTCTTTCAGCAATCAGTGAGAGCGCACTAGGTGTCGGGAGCATTTCGTGAACACCCACGGTGTACATCGTTGCGGACGCAAGAGGGGGAGAAAACGAAGGAGGTTGCTTCGAACAGGTATCGCTGTTACAGATAGAAAAGTTGTTCGGTTTTATCTGAAATCGAATCATTAAACGGTAGTGTGCGATCCTTTTATACTCTCTGTCTGTATCCAGGGAAACGACACAAATTGCTTACTCAATTACCGATTACGTCAGTAGAGAATAGTGGTTCTATTATTTTTGTCAAATTCATTGTAATAAACTACCCACTATTTATTTGTAATGAATTAAACATTTCATTGAATCCTGTTTTTGGAACGGCCTGTATGTAAGTCGCGAAAGGAGTCAATGAATTATATTGTTCTTCCAATTTGCAACGTCTAAGCAAACGAATGAATTTACTCGGAGCAGATGTAATCGGTCGACGTAGATCATCGAGTAAGAGGGTGAATCGTAGGAGCGATTGGTAATGATACCACGATTTGCTATGTTAACCGCTACCATTTCGATTCCAGAGTTCCGGAATTACAGAATTCTAGAGTTCCAAATTTCCAGAATTCCAGATTTTTAGAGTTCCAGAGTTCCAGGTTTCCGGAGTTCCGAATTTATAGAATTCCAGAATTTCAAATTTCTAGAATTTCAGAATTCCAAATTTCTAGAATTCCAGAGTTCCTAATTTCCAGAATTCCAGAATTTCAAATGTTTATTTCAGAATTTCGGAATTCTAGAGTTCTAGAATCCCAGAATTCTAGAGTTCCAGAATTCCAGATTTCTAGAGTTCCAGAACGCTAGGTTTCTGGAATTCCGAATTTCTAGAATTCCAGAATTTCAAATTTCTAGAATTTCAGAATTCCAAATTTCTAGAATTCCAGAGTTCCTAATTTCCAGAATTCCAGAATTTCAAATGTTTATTTCAGAATTTCGGAATTCTAGAATTCTAGAATCCCAGAATTCTAGAGTTCCAGAATTCCAGATTTCTAGAGTTCCAGAGCTCTGGGTTTCTGGAATTCCGAATTTCTAGAATTCCAGAATTTCAAATTTCTAGAATTTCAGAATTCCAAATTTCTAGAATTCCAGAATTTCAAATTTTTATTTCAGAATTTCGGAATTCTAGAGTTCTAGAATCCCAGAATTCTAGAGTTCCAGAGTACCAGATTTCCAGAATTCCAAAATTCCAACCCACCAGTGTTATCTACTAAAACGCACAGTTCGGTCATCATTCTCGCACCAACAATGGTGCTGCACGTTCTGGGTAAGAAAACCAGGACGACGTCGGTTGCAAGGAAGAAAAAAAAGGAAGGCGAAGAGATCGTGGCGATTTAAATCGCACGCAGAGGATCGAGCTGGAGTGTAGTAGGAAGAGCGTTAGATGGAAAGGAGGATAGATTGAAGCGTGGGGTAGGAAAAAGCGAAAGTCATGTCAGACCAATCAGAATGAGCCAGAACGGAGCATTGTGCGCATCTTTGCCCTAGATAATTAATATCCGTTGTTGGTCGTTTTGCCGAACGATGCATCGCGTTGCCCTCGATTGCCTCATTTCCCCGTCTAACTAATTGATTAAAGGGATTATTATTACGATGCCAAGCAGGATCCTATAGCCTAAGGCCGATCTATTTCGCTCGTCACCGGGCCGCGTTTGACAGCCGACTGTTGCAACGTCTGCTTCATTTTTCTACCCCTTTGTCTTCGTCTTTCTATCGTACAACACACATAAATATCATCTTCCACCTGCGTTCACGTTGATCATCTTAAACCATTGAGAATGGATCTTTTCTTTGGAGAAGGAAGACAGGTACTTATTACTTGTATGTACACAATTTCAATCTTGTATCATTTAACATGGAATACTAATATTTATTTTACTTTGTTTCGGATATTTTGTGGTATTTCAATAGTATTTAGTAGTTCCTATTGGATACCAGTGTTACTAGTATTTTACACTGGTATCTAGTATCTAATGATGGAGTACACTGAGACACTCAACTAGTATTTAATACTGGCAAGTACCACCAGTACTCAGCACTAGTATTCAATACTAGCAAGTATTACTAGTACTTAGCACTAGTATTTAACAGCAAAAATTACCAGCATTCAGCATTAGTATTTAATACAAGCAAGTATCACCAGTACTTAGCACTAGTATTTAATACTAGCAAGTATTACCAGTATTCAGCACTAGTATTTAATACTAGCAAGTATTACTAGTACTCAGTATTAATATTTAGTATCCAAGTACCACCAAATACTAAGTTAAGTATCTAAGTATCTGAATAATATATAATAATATTTAATAGTATTTAATACTCAGTATTAGTATCACTGGTACTCAATACTATTAAACAGTATTAATATCACCTATGCAATTGCAATGATTTATTAAAAGAAGAAGGAAGAATTATTTCTATGTACCTAATTAGAGGTGCCCGAAGATAATTTTATTTCTCTGTTACCTAACGTAGGTTTTATTTAACAGCTCGCAGAAAAGGATTGCAGTTGCGGTGATTTATTGAAAGAAGACGGCAATATTTCCTTCTTGGATTCCTAATGAAAAATGACTGGAAATTGTTTTATTCTTTCTGTACCTAATGTGCTGTATTTGCTGTCTCGCAAAAAATTATTCCACGGATCTCCTTTACGATACTGGTCATTGTCTTTTTTTTCTCGGTTTCAACTAAACGATCTAAAAATTATATTTGGCATCAAGAAAAATGACTCTCGTTAAACTGTTTCTTATTGTATAAACATTTTGATTCTTTTGTTAACGACAGAAAAAGATGATGGAAGAATAAATTTCTTTTAAATTCACGAAGATTAACCTTTCCAGTTTCAATAGAAGTATACTTATCATTTCGTAGTATATAAATTCTTAGAATATGTTGCTTTTTTTTGTCACGTCCTCAATTTATTCTCCAGACTGCCAAATAAATGACAAGCCTTAAAAAAGATCCATGAAAATTTCCAAGGTGATCCTTTTACTTTCGTGTCTGTGATGTTGCTTAACCTTTCGCTCTGTGAAGTAAGAAACAGTGTCATTAAGGGGGGACATAAATTACTTCGCTACAATTTCTCTGTAATTACAGGGAAAAAGTGAGTGAAGCTACTTATCGACCTTCAACATCATTAATGCCGCGTGAAAACATTGGTTTCCGGTGAAACTTGAAAAAACAATGACATTCTGTTGGCACATCTTCCGCTGAATTATTCTGAACCGTTAAAATAACGAGGGGGGCA